CAGCAGGCCCGGACCCTCTCGTGGTGCGAGGGGCATCTCAGCAGGGTGGGACCCTCTCGTGGTGTGAGGGACATCTCAGCAGGCCCGGACCCTCTCGTGGTGCGAGGGGCATCTCAGCAGGCCCGGACCCTCTCGTGGTGCGAGGGGCATCTCAGCAGGCCCGGACCCTCTCGTGGTGCGAGGGTATCTCAGCAGGCCCGGACCCTCTCGTGGTGCGAGGGGCATCTCAGCAGGGCCCGGGGGCCTCCCAGGCTGTTTCTATCGGAGCCCATGCATGTGAACAGCAGATTTCATTTCCCAACTACTTTATTTTCTTGCCTGCCTCCAAGTTCGAGCGTCAGAGCTCAGCCCTGCTTCAAGGAGCCCCCGGCAGCCCCTGTGCTCACATGTGGCTTTTGTGGGCACAGCAGGACTCCTCCGGGTGCGGGTGCAGCTCTCCCAGAAACGTGTCCAGCCACAGTTCCAGGTCTCGCACTAGCCGCTCCAGCTCTTGCACCTCTTCCTCCAGCTTCTCCAAGAAAACATACAAATTCTCCTTCAACCAGATCCTGATGACCTTTATTGGCTCTTCTGTGGGTTCACTGGTCTGATACTCAAGCCCCTGAAAGGCAGACACCAAAGTCGCATCTTGAGCCTTTTCACATAGGACCCCTTACCACTGGTTTCAAAAAGTTTCCCGGGCCTTTGCACATGCTAGTCATTCTGCTTATAGTACCCATCCCCACCTTAGCCACCTGGCCAGCTCCTATTTATCCTTCATGAACCAGCTCGCCATGACACCTCCTCTGGGAAGCCCTCTCAGATTGCCTCGCCTCAGTGGTTCCCTCAGTACCTTGCTGAATATGTTACCTGGGAAGCCACAGGATTCTGGTAACAGTTACATTCTCTGATCCTTTCTGACACCTCCCAACTTCTTCCTGGAATGGGCACAAACAACATCTCTTAAGGGCAAGTGAGCGGTAACTGAAATAAACCTGGTTGGCCAAGCAAGTAGGGTGAAGGGAGGGTGGGTGGGCAGAAGAAGGCAGGTTATGGAGTCCCCTTAGCACGCAACCATCTCTGGACTACTCCACCAGACCCCGTGTGGAGCCAGTTCCTCCTTTCTCAGATTCCAGAACACTCACCTGATATCCCTGTGCTCAGGTACAGCACCAAGACCAGCAATGCCAACAGCGTCTGGGGAGAGGAGGAGGAAGGGAACATGAGGGTGAATCTCCCAGGCTCTCTTGCTTCCTGCTCAGAGGGCCAGGCGTGGGTGCTGTACGACAGTTTTTAGAGCCTTTTTTCTAGTTATCTAAGTCACACGTACATGCTTGCTGCAAAACCCCCAAACACGGCGGAAATAGAGAACTTGGCAACTTACTGACAGTTCATTTATGTTTTCCCTCCTTTCTCACTTCTGAGAAGGAAGGTCCACCTTTTCTCTCATTCTTGGCCTCATTTAAAACTCTTTCATTTTAATTGAAAAGGAATCAACTTTATTGTGGTATAATTTACATGCCATAAAATGCACACATTTATCAGTGAGTTTTGACACGTGTCCATACCTGTGGACTGTCACCCCAGTAAAGACACAAAACAGTTCCATCATTTTAGAAATTTCCCTCATGCTCTTTTGCAGTCAATTCCCTCCTTACCCCCATCCCGCCAGAATCACGAATCAATCTGCTTTCCCTCCCAATGGAATACTTTTGCCTGTTCCATAACTTCGTGTAAATGGAATCACATGGTATGTATGCTTTTGCGTTTAGTTTCTTTTGCCCAAGATAACGTTTCTGAGAGGTTTTCGTGTGTTTGATTTTATTGCTGAGTATTTACACTGTGCTAATATTGTATTGATGAGTATTTACAGTGTATGAAAATAGCACAATTAATCTCTTCACTTGTTGATAGACTTTTAGGTTGTTTCCAGGCTTGGGTTTTATGAATAAAAGTACATGAGTGTTCACATCTTTGAGTGGACATATGTTCTTGTTTGTCTTGTGCTAATATCAAGAAATGCAAATGCTGGGTCATGTGGTCGGTGTATTTTTAATTTTATAAGAAACCACCAAACTGTTTCCTAATGTTTGTAACATTTTATGTTCCTGCCAACAAGTCATGAGAGTTCTAGTTGCTCCTCATGCTGTCAACACTTGGTATTGTCAATCTTAACTTTAGGCATTCTATTGCTAGTGATATCTTGGTCTAGTTTTTATATGAGTTTCCTTAATGATTAATGATGTTGATTATTGTGTGCTTATTGACCATTCATAATTCATATGTTATTTTTGTGGTGTGTCCATTTGAGTCTTTTGCCCATTTTTATTGGACTATTTGTCTTCTTCCTGTTAAGTTATATATTAGTTTTATTTTCTGTATTCTGGATGTAAGTCCTTTGCCAGATTGCACTGTGAATATTTTCTCCAAGTCTGTGGCTTGTCTTTTCATTTTCTTACCAGTGTCTTTTGAAATTTAAAAGTTTCAGTTTTGATGAAGTCCAATTCAATGAAGTTTTTTTTGTGTGTGTGGTTGTGCTTTTTGTATGCAATCTAGAAAAATTTGCCTGCTTCAAGGTTGTGAAGATCTTCTTCCTGTTTTCTTCTAGACATTTTATTGTTTGTGCTTTCACATTTAAGAGTATTATCCATTTTAAATTGATTTTTGTATATAATGAAGTAGAGATTGAGATTTTTTTATATGGGTGTCCAGTTGTTCCAGAATTATTTGTTTAAAAAGATTAATTTTCCTCATTGAATTACATTGATGTCTTTGTCAAAAATATATCTGCCATGTATTATGTCGGTCTACTGCTGGATTCCACCCTGGCATTGATCTATATATCTATCTTTGCATCAATACTAAATCTGTATTAATATATACACAGCAGAATATCACATACCTAACAGAATATTACAAATGGGGTGTCTTGAACAACAGAAATTTATTTTCTCACAGTTTTGGGGGCTGGAAGTCCACCATCAAGGTGCTGGCAGGGTTGGTTTTAGGCCAGGCCTCCTTGGCTTGTGGATGGCACATTCTCAGTGTGTCCTCCTCACGTGGCCTTTTCTCTGCGCTTGCACTTCTTTGGTGTCTCTTCCTCTCCGTATAAGGACATCAGTCCTATGGGATTAGGGCCTTACTCTTATGACCTCATTTAACCTTAATTACCTCCTTATAGGCCTTATCTCCAAAATAGTCACTTTGGGGGTTAGAGCTTCAACATATGAATATTGGGGCACTCAGTTCTGTCCATAATAACTACACTGTCACCATCCTATCTCATTGATTTATGTATCTACCTTATATAATACCACATCATCTAGGTTTCTGTGGCTTTATTATAAGATTTGAAATCAGATTGTATAAAATTTGCAACTTTGTTCCTTTTCCAGGTTTGTTTTGGCTATTCTACATCCCTTGCATTTTCATACACATTTTAGAGTCATCTTTTTCTGTTTCTATAAGAAGACTTACTGGGACTTTGATTGGTATTATGTTGAACCTATAGTTCAATTGGGTAAGAAATGATGTCTTAAAAATATTGTATCTTATAATCCATGAACATGGTATATCTCTTCATT